ACGCGGCCGCGCACGGGCGCCTCTCCACCTTCCTCGCCCCGCGCCTGCTCCGCACCGACGCCCAGCGCAACGTCTTCTTCGACGCCCCCGCGCGGCCCCTCGCCGCCGCCACCGCCGCGCTCCGCGTCCGCCTCTACGGCCCCGACGACCGCGCCCCCTCCCGCGCCGTCCTCGCGCTCAAGCGCCGCCCGCGCATCCACGCCGGCGTCAGTCGCGTCGAGGAGGTCGAGGAGCCCCTCGACCCCGCCCTCGCCCTCGCCTGCCTCGACGACCCCGCCCGCCTCGGCGCCGTCGACTCCCCCATCGTCCGGCTCGTCTCCGACGAGTACGGCGTCGGCGGGGACAAAGCGCCGTTCGTCTGCCTCGGCGGCTTCCGGAACACCCGCGGCGTCTATGAGCTCGGGGAGGGTGAGGGGCAAGGGCTCATGCTGGAGCTGGACGAGACGCATTTCGATTTCGGCACCAACTACGAGCTCGAGTGCGAGACCGCGGAGCCCGACCAGGCCAAGGAGGTCCTCGAGCGGCTGCTCACGGTCGCTGGGGTGCCGTATGAGTACTCCCGGAGCAATAAGTTCGCGTGCTTCATGGCCGGGAAGCTGCTTCCATGACTAGGTTTGTTGTTGGTCTTTAGCATGTCTCATATGATGATTAAATCGTGACATTCGTTTGTTTCTTGCAACTATAAACTTATTCTGTGCCATGTGATTTCAGACCTCACAAATGCAATGTTTAGTTCTGTTACATTCTGGCATTTGATAACTTGCATCCAAGAATACTACTACTTGGTAGCATAGCGACACAGGGATTGCATTTCGATCCTTGTAAACAATACTTTGTCCGGAGCATGATCGGACAACCGCTGGGTACAAGGTGGTGGTGGTATGGCTGGTTGTGAGAGGACTAAATTTCATCTCTCGAGTCCATTTATATACAGGAACAACAATCCAGACTAGAACAAACTGAATGTCGTATATTTACCACACCTTAGACAGAGTTCCTTCTCTTATGATTATGGGCAATGAGTCTGTTGTTGCGGTCTCACCACACCGCATCACATCTGATGTGTGTCATTCTGCTCTCTGGATTGCAAATGGCGCATCCTTAGTTTCATCACCTCCCTGATGAGCTGCTTCTTGTCTTGACCCACCTATGGGAGACCAACCGTTCTCTTGTTCCGATACAGCATGGAGGCAGCTGGGCTGTTGGGGTAGTGCGGACACGATCCTTCGCCTTCTCCCTTGGCGGTCTCTTCAACACAAGGAGACACCACTGCTTGCACGGTTGTGCCAATGCTGATAGTGAGGCTGCTACTGCTTCCTGGTAGATGCTTAGGTAAACTGCAACTTGCGTTGCTGCCTCCTCTTGTTGCACCTGGGTGCACAAAACTCTCACAGTATTAATCTGAATCATCAGTTTTTTTATCCCATAAAGATGCTAGACTTTAGTGATAACAGGGTAGACAGGTATACTGTCTGCTGACTGCAGTATATCTGGGAAACACATGAACAGTTTTGATGGACATATACAGTGCAGCAAAATTCCAGGTACGCTGCTTGTCCACCAGGGTACCATCCTTACCATGGATCTTTGTTTTGACATCCCTGATGGTATCTGGGCTCTCAACCTCGAGAACGAGGGTCTCACCAGTCAACTTCTTGATGAAGATTCTCTGGATGTCCACAACGAGGTGGAGAGTCGATGCACCCTTTTGATGTCGCAATCTGCTAGAGCGCGTCCGTCGTTGATCCTGGATCTTTGCCTTGGCACCATCGATGGTATCTGACGGGTCAACTAGGATGATAGCTGTCCTGCGGATCAGGGTCTCGACAATGATCTCCATTTCTTGAACTAGAGCACCAAGCATCAATAATAATATCAACAGATAGTATAGTAGTTGTTGTTTCGCTCGTGCAAAACTCGTAGTGATGCCTGCTTTAGGAAAAATTTTCCCTGTTATTGCTCTCTACTTATCTTTCCGGGATAAGAGTTGTTGTTTCGCTCGTGCAAAACTTGTAATGATGGCTGCTTTAGGGAAGTTTTCTCTGCTGTTCCAGTAGTGCGATTTTTGCTGTTGCTCCCTACTTATCTTTTCTTTCAAATTTTCAGAAACCAAGACTTCAAAAGTGACAGTGCAGCGGAGCAAAGGTTGCTGATCATGATGGCCACCGAGGTGTTCCATTGACGACGACTTGGATGGGGCCCGCTGATTCTCGGGATAAATTCTTGAGCAACTTGTTGCCCTGTCGCTTGATAGCCTGGCTAGCTTCTGCTGTTATGTTTTGCGCTGTTGGTTGTTAATCTTCAGACTTGTTCTTGTTCCCTGGGTGTGGGAGGATGTCTCTGCTGTGATGCGTTGGTCCTTTTTATGGTGCTGAGTTGATAGCTCTTCATAGTTTGATATCCTTCCTGTGTTCGTTAGCCTCTGTGCTTCCGCAAAAATGCATTTGTGTTATCAATTTCAGCAATGAAATTAGGAGCAAGGCTCTGTTTCTAAAAAAGAAAAGAAAATGAAAAGCCACCGTCAGGAATTGGAACTTGTTCAGATTCAAGGACTAATTAACAACAAGGGTGACTTGGTGAGAAATCATGTTTTGATTAGAAGAACTATGTGATTTGCGTGCCCATTCGTACCTATAACCCGATGGAGATTGCACCTAAACCCTACGAGTGATGTGCATCATTTGGCATATCAAGTAACTCATTCCAAACCACCAACTTACAATATACTCCCTCCGTTCGAAAATACTTTGTTGGAGGAATGGATGTATCTAGACGTATTTTAGTTCTAGATACATCTATTTTTATGCATTTCTGCGATAAGTATGTATTTTCGGACGGAGGGAGTACTAGACTACTCCAAAACAAAACAAAAAAA